AAATTGATTTATCACAACCAAGGGAAAAAATTTAGAAACTCGCCTGATGTCATTAATAGAATGCAAGAAGACAAGACTTCTGTGTGACTAAAGGATACAATAAGGAAATTGAATGGAAATGAAAATAGAATAAGAATCAAATAGGCCGGCACCGTGGCTCAATAGGCTAATCCTCCGCCTTGCGGCGCCGGCACACCGGGGTTCTAGTCCTGGTCGGGGTGCCAGATTCTGTCCCGGTTGCACTTCTTCCAGGCCAGCCCTCTGCTATGGCCCAGGAGTGCAGTGGAGGATGGCCCAAGTGCTTGGGCCCTGCACCCCATGGGAGACCAGGAAAAGCATCTGGCTCCTGGCTTCGGATCAGCGCGATGCGCCAGCAGCAGTGCGCCAGCCATGGCGGCCATTGGAGGGTGAACCAACGGCAAAGGAGGACCTTTCTCTCTGTCTCTCTCACTGTCCACTCTGCCTGTCCAAAAAAAAAAAAAAAAATCCAGTGAATCTCTATCCAATGAGATTAAGGGTGTCGGCTTGAATACGTCGTTTGTCCCCTCAGACTCACGTAGGTGTTTAATTTCCAAAGTTGTATGTTAATGATATTAGCTATACTATCCAGGTAAGTTTTTTTTTGTTTTTTTTTTTGGTTTTTTTTTTTTTTTGTTTTTTTTTTTTTTGACAGATAGTGTTAGTGAGAGAGACAGAGAGAAAGGTCTTCCTTCCATTGGTTCACCCTCCAAATGGCCGCTATGACCAGAGCTATGCCGATCCAAAGCCGGGTGCTTCTTCCTGGTCTCCCAGGCGGGTGCAAGCGCCCAAGCACTTGGGCCATCCTCCACTGCCTTCCTGGGCCACAGCAGAGAGCTGGACGGAAGAGGAGCAACCAGGACTAGAACCCGGTGCCCGTATGGGATGCTGGCACCGCAGGAGGAGGATTAACCAAGTGAGCCACAGTGCCAGCCCAGGTAAGGTTTTTAACAAGTGATTAGCTCTAGATAACATCATTAGCATAGAGCCCCATGGCTGAACTCTGGTAAGAAGAGGGACAGAGACCAGACACAGGACAGTTCCCACCCTATTTCTGGCCATGTGCCGTCTTGGGGCTCTGCCATCATGAAGTGACATACTAGTGCCAAAGGGTCCCTTCGAGAGCCTATGCCATGATATTTGGCTTTCATCCTTCCAAACCAGGAACAATATAAACTTCTTTTCTTTATAAAGTTAGTCTGCCTCAAATATTTTGTTATAGTAACAAAAAGCTGGCTAATACAGTGGGTTAAGGAGACATAAAAGGAAAATCAAAATTATAATGGGAGAATTAAAGTTTTCACATATGATTATTTTAGAAACAACATTTACTGTCTCGTGAGCTCTATTTTTAAAGAATTGTATTTCTGGGGCCGGCAATGTGGCATAGTGGGTGAAGCCGCTCTGTCACAGCTCTGGCCATTGTGGCCACCTAGGGAGTGAACCAGCGGATGGAAGACCTCTCTGTCTTTCTGCCTCTCTCTGTGTGTGTAACTCTTTCAAATAAACAAATGAATCTTAAAAAAAAGAAAGAAAAATATATTTCTTTGAGGAGCAGACAGAGCGGGAGAGGAAGAGGGAAAGGGAGAAGGAGAGCAAGATCCTGTCTGTCAATTCACTCCCCAAATTCATGCAGTGGCCCCTGACTAAGACCAGGTAATGGAGCCAGGAACTCAATCCAGGTCTTCCACACTGGTGGCAGGAGCTCTAATCACTTGAAGCAACACCACAGCCTCCCAGGATCTACACTAGCAGGAAGCAGGAAACAGAATCAGGTATTGAGCAGAAGTACTCTGATGTGGAATGTGCGCCTTCTAGCCAGCATTTTAACCACTAGGCCAAATGCCTACCCCTGGACCAGTTTTACCATCAGTGGCGTCACAAGCAACAGGATAATTACATTGCTCCTGTCATCTAATTTTTTCCTATTATAACATTTTTATAGTTTTACTATTTATTGATATACCATAATTGTGCATATTTATAGGATACAGTGTGATGATTCAGTACATGTATTCAATATGTATTGATCAAATCAGAGTAACTAGCATTTCCATCTCTTTAAACATCTGTCATCTCTTTGTATTAGGAAATTCTGAACTCATCTCTTCTAGTTCTAGTTTCTCATGAAACATAATAAATTGCAGTGAACTACAGTCACCCTCTCGTCCTTTAGAATGTTAGAACCTATTCTCTCTATGTAACTGTATTTTGATACCAACCTCCATTTCTCCTCCTCCCTACCCTTCCTATTCTCCAGTGAATACTAGTCCACTCTCTATTTCTATGAAATCAGCTTGTTAACCTTCCACATATGAGCAAGAACCTGTGGTATTTGTCTTTCTATGCCTAGCTTATTTCACTTAATATAATGTCCTCTAATTCTATCCATCTTGTACAGTTAGTCCTGTAGTCTCATTTTGACTACGATTCAAACCACACAGTTCTTTGAGTTTCTGAGCCTATTTTCTACACCTGATTCCTTCTATTAATTTAATGAGCTACCTGTCTCTCCGGTGAATTTCTTCTTTGCCTAAGTAAACTAGGTGTGTTTACTTTTGGTTGAATCCAAGAGCACTCATTGATATATAACTTAATCAGGCTAAGGTAAGGCATGCTTCACTCTAATGTCAAACCAACCTTTCATTTCTGGGGTAAATCCAGATTGATCATGGTGTGTAATTATTTCTACATGTTTCTGGGCTCTACCCTCATAGCAAATTTCAGGTATACAATACATTGTCAATCACATCATACACTTTATCTCCTGAATTTTTCTTTTTGTCTAACTGAAATTTTGGATCCTTTAGTCAACATCTCCCAAATCGTAGCCCTCCTCCCACTGTAACCTCTTGTAACCACTGTTCTATTCTCTGGTTTTTTGTTTTTTGGTTTTTTTTTTTTTTTTTTTTTTTGAGGCTGACTTTTTAGATTTCCTCACATAAGTGATACACGCAGTATTTGCCTTTCTTCACCTAGTATATTCCACTTATCATAATGCACTGCAGGTTCATTCCTCTTGTCACAAATGATAGAATTTTTTTAATAAGGTTGAGTAGTATCCCATTGTGTTTTTTCTTTTTTAAAGATTTTATTTATTTTATTTGAGAGTTAGAGTTATAGACAGTGAGAGGGAGAGACAGAGAGAAAGGTCTTTCTTCCGTTGATTCACTCACCAGATGGCTGCAATGGTGGGAGCTGCACTGTTCCGAAGCCAGAAGCCAGGAGCTTCTTCCTGGTCTCTAACGTGGGTGCAGGGGCCCAAGGACTTCGGCCATCTTCTACTGCTTTCCCAGGGCACAGCAGAGAGCTGGACTGGAGGAGGGGCAGCAGGGACAAGAACCGGCACCCATATGGGATGCTGGTGCCACAGGTGGAGGATTAACCTACTGTGTCAAGGTGCCGGCCCCCTCATTGTGTTTTTATAGTACATCTTCATCAGTTCATATGCTGATGGACCCCTCAGCTGGTTCCATGTCTTACTATTAGGAATAATGGTTCAATAAACATGGAATGTAGATATTTCCTTGTTTTATATATATATATGTATATATATATATATATTTCACTTCCTTTGGGTATATACCCAGAAATGGAATTGCTGGCTCATATGGTAGTTCTGTTTTTAATTTTTTTCTCCAAAATTATTTTCAATTCTTCATACTCAGTTTTACTGATCTATCTTCATGTTCATTGATTGCTTCTTCTACCATCTCAGTTCTATTAAGTCCATCTAGTAAATTTTTCATTTTCATTATTATATTTTTCATGATTTTTATTTGGTTCTTTTTAATAGATTATATTTCTTTACTGACATTCAATATTTGTCAAATTCCCATCATCTTTTCCTGTATCCTTAAACCTGGTTTATTTGAATTATTTGAATATATTTATAAGTCTTCTGTGTTAAATCTAACATCTGAACAGAGATAGTTTCTATTGGCTGTTATTTCACTATGTATCACTCTCCTGTTTCTCTAGCTCTCATAATTTTTTCTTGAAAGCTGCATATTTTAGATAATATAGAGTCTCTGGATTATAATATCTCTTTTTCCCCCAATGGGTTTATTTCTGCTGCTTTTGTTTATTTGTTGCTGTTTTAAGTAGCTTACTTATATTTAACTATAGATTCATGTTTGTCAATCCACAGTATGAAACCTCTGATACCTCTGTTCAATTTCTCTGTAACTTTTACTTTTTAGCTTGTGTGGTTAACCAATGATTGGTCAGTGGTTGTGTTCAAATACCTCGAGCACATAAAGCTTCCACCTTCAGCTGATGTGTTTGCTTTAAAGAAAGTATTCAAAGTTTGGGCAGTTTTCACGTCTTCTGGAGTATTTACAGTATCCTGCACTCTGTCGGTTCTTCACCATGTGTAAACACAGGCACTGAGGCAGGGGGATTTGTGGAATGCTTCAGAAGCTTGTCACTTATCCCAGTAGGGACCACAATCCCAGGCTCAGAGAGCTGCAGGCTTTCTCCATCACCCCTGGGCACGGGTTTTCCACTCTCTAATTTAAGCCAAGTTGGCCCCCTCTATGAATAACAGCGCTAGTTTTCGTGGTCAGTCACCTCTGATAGAACTATTATGCTGATCACCTTAGGGTGGTGTGGGGAGCAATTCGGACTATACTGTTACTGGAATTAAGATTTATTCTATGCATCTGCTCTCCCACAATATGGCGCTGGGAGAGAAGTAAACAGCTTCTACCCAGCTGCCTCTCACCAACTTGACAAGCTGCAGGAGCTGCTCCTGATTGGAGGAGAGCGGCGTGCTCGGCGTGTGGGCAGCCGAGTTGGGATTGGTGGAGAGGACTATATAGGAGGAGAGAGACGGCATGCACCAGGAACATCTACGAGGAACATCTATGGGGAACATCTAAGGGGAACACCTGTGCAGCCCCCGAGAGAGCCGGCCGGCGGGGTGCCGCTCCCCTGCGGAAGTGGGGAATGCGGCCAGGGGGAACTGCCCTTCCACGGAGGTGGAAGGGATAGTAGCCAACCCGGGAAGAACCAGCAGCAAACCCGGGGAGGGCCGAGCAGACGAAAGAACAGCGCAGGGTCCTGTGTTGCTCCTCCACGAAGAGGGGGAGCGACATAATGGTGCCGTGACTCGGATAGGAAACCTAGCTCGGATAGGAAACCTGACTCGGATAGGAAACCTAGGACGGATAGCAAACTTAGGAGGGAAGAAACGGGAAGAAACGGGAAGAATTGGGAAAATACCGGAGAGAGAGACTAGCAAACAGCCTAGGGAAAAGCCGGACGAAAAAGGAGCCGGAAGAAGCTATTGAAAGCCTAGGCATAGACTCGGATACGGACTACGGGGGGAAGCTGGGAGAAATCTCTAAGGTCGAAAGCGAAAGTGAAAGCTAGAACAAACAGGCTTGGACGCGGACTGTGGGGAGAGGCCAGGAGAAATGAGGGAGGAACATCGTTGGAGGAAAGCTTGGGGAAACATACCGGGTAGAGAAAAATGTTAGGGAGGATGAAGCCGCGAGTGCAGGCCAAGCCATCTTGGAATTCTTCAAGTCACCCCGGGGAGCAAGAGGCGAAGATCTGGAACCAGAGGCAGAGACGTGGGCCGCCAGGATTCGCCAGGTTAGTCCGGGGAACTTGGACTGAATGCCGGTGGTGGCGGAAACATTCGCGAAAGCCGCCGCGTGCAGAGAGAGCACGGGGCGTTGGCGCGAGGCCGTGGTGCGGGCGCGAAGTGCGTGGAGACCGCGGAGCGTGCGCGCAGAGCCGGGAACCCGCCGGCGGGGCGAGGCGCCGGGAAGCCGCGCAAAGCCGGGAAGCTGCGCAGATGAGAGAGGCGCGGGCTGAAGCGGCTCAGCCGGGAAGCCGCCGAGAAGCAGCCTCGGGGCGGGCGCAGCCGGGAAGCCGCGGGGATAAGAATGAGAGCGGGAAGCCGCAGGGATAAGAGAAACAGAAGTTTAGAAGTAAAGTGAGAAAAATAGGAATGCTGGAAGATAGAAGTAAAATGGGAGAAATAGGAATGCCCGGAGATAGAGAAATAGAGAAATAAAAAGGCCTCCCTACAACACTGCAATGTGAGAGCTTGGATTCGGTCTGCCTAATCAAGTGAGGCGATGAGCACCTGCGGGCAGCTAGCAGCTTATGCGCCGCAGGTCACCGAAGACAGGCACGAATTAACATCAGTAAGGCTTCCCCACAATGTAACAATTAGGAGGCTTGGATTCGGTCTGCCTGATTTAAGGCGGTAAGCGCCAGCAAGCAGCTCGACCAGAGTATGAGCTGCAGGTCACCGAAGATAGGCACGAACCAACACTAATAAGTCTCCCCCACAATAAGGCAATGAGAAGGCTTGGATTCGGTTTGCCTGATAGAGCTTGTAAGCCCCTGCGGGCAGAGCAGAGCATGCGCTGCAGGGCACCGAACACAGGCACGCATCAGCGCCTAAAAACCTCCTCACAACATGGCGAAGAGAGGACCCGGATTCGGTTTGCCTGATTGATAGGACTTGTAAGAACCTGTGGCAACTCTAGCAAGCAGAGCAGAGTGTGTGCCGCGGGACACCGAAGACAGGCGCGTATCAACGCCAAAAATAAAAAGAAAGGGGGATCTGTGGGGAGCAATTCGGACTATACTGTTACTGGAATTAAGATTTATTCTATGCATCTGCTCTCCCACAATATGGCGCTGGGAGAGAAGTAAACAGCTTCTACCCAGCTGCCTCTCACCAACTTGACAAGCTGCAGGAGCTGCTCCTGATTGGAGGAGAGCGGCGTGCTCGGCGTGTGGGCAGCCGAGTTGGGATTGGTGGAGAGGACTATATAGGAGGAGAGAGACGGCATGCACCAGGAACATCTACGAGGAACATCTATGGGGAACATCTAAGGGGAACACCTGTGCAGCCCCCGAGAGAGCCGGCCGGCGGGGTGCCGCTCCCCTGCGGAAGTGGGGAATGCGGCCAGGGGGAACTGCCCTTCCACGGAGGTGGAAGGGATAGTAGCCAACCCGGGAAGAACCAGCAGCAAACCCGGGGAGGGCCGAGCAGACGAAAGAACAGCGCAGGGTCCTGTGTTGCTCCTCCACGAAGAGGGGGAGCGACAGGGTGGGGAGTGGGGGCAGCTGTATGCAAGAAAGTCACAGACTTCTATTGTTCTTACCCAAATTTCAGCAGTTTTTTCATGAATATATGCTTCTCAATCTGTTGTTTCCTTTTTTATCAGTTTCTAGAGCCCCGTACTGATTATTTTTTTTTTTCCTAGTTAAATAGCTCCTATTCTGGAAGAAGGACTTATCAACTTCTTTAGTCCTTGGTAGCCAGAATTCATACTACCCCTATCTTCATACGCTTTTTATTCTTTGCTTCAGAGTTCTTCAAAACACGTACTATTAGAACAAGTCCTAGGACACCAGCGATTCTTCCCATTGCATATTTTTGCTTGAAAACACTGTATTTCATCTTGTTTCTTCCCAAGTGACTGACTGCATAACCCATGGAAGAGTTGTGTCTTGTCCAAGTCTTTCCATCTGGTCTTCCCCATTTCCCCTGTGCAAGTGAGTGTCTACAGTCTCTGAGCAGAAAAGAGTGATGAAACATTTATAGACGTTTTCTCAGGGAAGAGTGTGGAAGTAAATCCCCACTCATTACTGTGTTTCACCTTTATCAATATAAAATTGACAAATAAAAACTGTGTATTCTAAGTGTATGATGTTTTGTTATGTATATACTCTGTGAAATGATTACCACAATCAAGCTAATTAATATATCCATCTCCTCACATAGTTTTTTTTGTTCAGTGAGACTACTTAATATCTACTCTCTTAGCAAAACTTAAGTATATGATGCATTAGTAACTATAGCCACCATTCTGTGAACTAGGTCTCTTTTACCTGTAGCTTTGTACCAACATCTCATTTCTCCCACCTCTGCAACTTTTTTGTAACTGTTAGCTATTTCTAAATCCTCTTTGATTGGCAGCTGCAGGGGGTCCTTCTGCCCTCAACTTTCTTCCAAATAACACTCAGCTCTCCATCTATTCTCCTGAAGATTCTCTCCATCACCAGATCAAATTTCTTCTTTCCCTTAATTATACAGACAATGGGGCTTGGCACTGTGTGGTAGTGGGCTGGGCCTCCACCTGCCTGGGGAACCAGAATCCCCTATGGGTGCCAGATTCCTGTCCTGGCTGCTCCTTTTCCAATCCAGCTCTCTGCTTGTGGCCTGGGAAAGCAGTAAAGATGGCCCAAGTGCTTGGGCCCCATACTCCATGGGAGGACTGGGAAGAAGCTCCTGGCTTCAGACACCTGAGTTCTGGCCATTGCATTCATTTGGGGAGTGAACCAGGGGATGGAAGACCTTTCTCTCTGTCTCTCCCTCTCTCTCTATAACTCTACCTCTCAAATAAATAACATCTCTTAAAAAAAAAAAAAACTTACACAGATAAGTTTTCCTTTAGTATATGAAAACTGGGAACAAATCCTAAACCTAGATCCAAGTCTTGTAATTGGTTTAGTCAAAACAGCTTCTGAACAATGTCAAATCTCTTTCTGCAGAAAGAGATTTTTAGCATAAGCTAAGGTGATAAAAGTCTCTTCAAATATTAAGGCAGTTTTCATGATCACATTCCACCTTAAGTCTGGGAGACAATCCAAGATTTTTTGTTGATAAGAAGCTTGAGCTCATTGTTTTTAAACTGAAGATGGAGGGGAAAAGATAATGCACTCCAATCTGTGGGTTCCCTCCCCAAATACCTGCCATAAAATCTTCAAATTAGAGATAGTGATATTTTTTTTCCTTTGGGTTACATACCTCCAAATACCTAATAGAATCTCAAAATTATATTTTATCTTATGTTAAATATTTATTTATTTATTTGAAAGGCAGAGTTACAGAGAGAGAGGGAGAGACAGAGAGAGGAAGATCTTCCATCCACTGATTCACTCCCCAAATCACTCCCAACAGCCAGGTGGAAGCCAAAAGCCTAGAACTCCATCTGGGTCTTCCATGTGGGTGGCAGAGGTCCAAGTACCATCTTCCATTGCTTTCCCAAGCACATAATCAGGGAACTGGATTGGAGGTATAGCAGCCAGGACTCAAACCTGTACTCATATGGGATGCCAGCTTCACAGTGGTGGCTTAACCTGCTGTGCCACAACACTGGCCCCAAAACTATATTTTATCATGTAAACACTTGGAAGCTTTGTTTTTGAAGTGCTGTTAAGAAATTGTTTTGTAGATAATAATCTCTTATTAATATTGACTTTTATTGAGTATTTGGTATTGTGCTATACACTTTAATACAATGTCTCAATTCTCAAAGCAAACTTATAAAAGCTGATCTAGTTAAAATGTCCATTTAACAGATGAGAAAACCCAGGCTCAGAGAGATTGAATAAATTTCCTAAGGTCATAAATCTAATAGATAAAATAAAATGCATTTGGGAATGTAAATGGAAATGATTGTTAAAGAACTAAGAGTAAAATCTGGGTGACAAGTTAAAACTTTATTTTGTAAGATACTTATATTTTCTTCACTTCAGGAAAGAATTCAGGAACCAATGGGAGAACAGTGAATAGCAAGTGACAAGTATTTTATCAAGAAGGCGAAAGATACACACTCCACAGAGCAGGGACTTGGCCCTTAGTCAGTAAAAATGTTGATAGCTGTATTTAATTTTCTCACCACATTCTCACCAAGGTAGTATAGAGTTATTCAGTATCTATTTAGTCATGGGTAATATTGTCTCTTAATTCTGTATTAAGTTTCTGCTATTAGTATCATCATTAAGAAAACTATCCTTATTTAGTAGAACAATTTTTTAAAATTTAACTTTGCCCTTGATAAGAGGATATTGTACTAGTCATGGTATGTTTTGCAAGAGGAAATGCCATGCCAACACATCATTAACAACACATTTCTTCCCATTCACTTTCCATCCAGAATAAAGAAGTATGTGTTGTGGTGATAACTGCACAGAGGATCAATGTCATGTTTCAGCCAATGAGTGGCTGTATATAGAGCACTGTAAACAAAATTGGGTCTCGGCTCACTCTCTGCTTAATAACTGCTGCCTTTAGCAATTTTCAGGTAACCATACATTTAAAAAATAATTTCCAGGATTCTAAGTCTCAATGACTTTAAGTCCCATTCCTATGGTTTGGATTCAATCATTCAAAGATGAGGGGGCTGTGTGCTTATAGTCTATTAACTAATAGTTTAGTCATGGCTGGGTTTTTCAACCCCTATGACAGTAGTTAAACATGTGGTCAAAACCATTCTCCACATCAATTATGCTATCCTAGCAAGCTTTTTGTTT